AATAAGATTAGTATTGACCAAGTTCAGAGGCTGTCATATGTGAATGCATAACTTACTATGTTGTGCATTTTCAACAGTTTCAAAATGAAAAATAACTTTTATATTGATTCAATGGATTTATTGCATTTTGAAAAAAAAAAAAACGTGTCATGGATTTATTGCATTTTGGGGGAAAAATAATAAAATTTTATAATAAATCTTTGAAAATCTAAATCTGGATTTGAATTTTTAATGTTATTATAACCTAAAGATGCTATGTGAAAGTTTAAAACAGAAAATAGTGGTTTTCATCTTGCCACTTTCTTGGTAAAGAAAACTAATTTTTACTCAAATTAATCTAAATGGATTTATAGCGTTTTGGAACCAAACTCTTCAAATACTATCCAGCATAAAGCACAGTTCTAAGTAACAGTCTCACGTGCGCACAGCACGCAGAGTAGTTTCGGTTTGAGTGAAAACAGGGCGGAAAAACTGGGAGGTTTTAAAAGAGTGCTAAGAGAATTACACAAATGAATGAATTAATTATATGAATGTACCTCTGATGGTTCTGATTGTCTTCAGAAACGATTCGATGGCATTTTGTTTTCAACTTCGCTCCATGTAATACCTAAACGAAGTGTTCTTAATCGCAATACTGCTTTGTCCACAGAGGTTAAGGGAAACAGCTCTAATTCAGCTTTTCCATAAGCGCCACCTGCTGTCAGCGAGTGGATTTACAGAGACTTATTTTTACATTCAGTCTGTGCAGTTTCTGTCTGGCCAAAAACAGACCGAATTTGCATGCCCCGCTGTAAATTTTGACCGGTTGATGAAAAACAAGCTTATGTGGATTCCACACATTTAAACAATTCAGATAAGTTATCTAGAATTATTTATGGAGCAGATAAAATACATATAATCATTTATCACTATAATCGTGATAAGAAATTTTCATACCGTTACATCCCTACTCTCGATAATGGCGTAAGACATGATTTGGAGAAGAATTGTTGAATAAAGTCGTTACCTTTGTTTTCTTTGCACACAAAAAGTATTCTCATAGCTTGGTAAAATTAAGGTTCAGCCACTGATGTCACATGGACTGTTTTACTGATGTCCTTACTACGTTTCTGGGCCTTGTAACATTTCAGTTGCATTGCTGTCTAAGCAGGGTCAGAGAGTTCTCAGATTTCATTTCATCAAAAATATCTTAATTTGTGTTCAGAAGATGAATGAAGGTCTTACGGGTTTGGAACAACATGAGGGTGAGTAATTGATGACTCATTTTTGATGATGATCCATTTCTGGGTGAACTATCCCTTTAAAACATAAACATCACCTGTCTATACACATGCTTTGCATGTTTGAGAATGGCTATGATGTCTCCGATGACTGTAATTCCCAAGTCCATCATTATTTCCTTACTGAGGTCCATGAGCATGCTTTTCTGAATCCTGAAAACAGAAAAGTAGTTGAGGCTTTTACAGCATTCAGTTGTGCAGTACATGAGTAACATTTTGTTCAGAATGTTGTCTGTTCACATTTCAGAGAAGGCCAGATTTTGACTGTTAAAAATGGTGAGTAGACATCCAGCAAGTAAAGCACACATAAGCAGACCGAGACCGATCCTGTACTGAACCAGATGAACTAGTTCATGTCTATTTAGACATGCTTACTACAGTGGCTACCTTTACAAGGACATCTTTTGCTTCAGTCGGAATGAAATTATTCTGATTGATGAATCTGAATGCAGCATCTAAATAAATTGGGTTGATGTGCAGGTTTATATATCATAAGCTTCATATCAGATTTGATCTTTTGACACGCACACACTGCACAAATATAGTTTCCTGTTGTTTGCACATAGTGTTCTCCTACCATTGCTTCTTTACTTTGTTTTAAAGAGCAGACTTCATATTTATCTTGGGTCCTAATTAGGAGACGACAAACACATGTCGCTTTGTGCTGTGCTGTTTATATTTATCAAGCCATAAAATTGCCCATTCCTGTGGCCAAAACAAGCCATCTGTGAATGAGAGAAGTGAGGACTGATGAGATGTTGTTCTGCTCCACTTCACAGACAATCAATGGAAGGAGAATTCTAGAATAACATGATAACATGAAAAAAAACATTGTTCCACCTGTCATACGTCATTACGACATTTCTACATCATTACGCATGCACAGTACTTTACAGTTCCAGTTTTCAATGCGATTAAGTGTTTACATGTCCTCTAGATCAGGTTTAGAAAAAGTCTACACAACCCATTTCCAATCCGAACAAAACTTAAAGGGGTCATATGATGCGATTTAAATTTTTTTATTCTCGCTGTAGTATTGTTGCCTAATGTTCTTTTTAGCAGCATCATATGACCCCTTTAATTCAGATCAAGCTCAATCAGATCGATTAAGGTGTTTTCATGAAGGATTTTTAGTTCAATTGAGCCTTCAATCCGATTACTAGCGGATTATTTGGTTGCATGTAAACGTAGCTAGTGAAAGCCAATGATTCGGTTTTTACCTGTTATCAACAAACGACACTGTGTAGTTGACAGCCAGTCCAGGAGGGATCCCAGCATCTTTGAAGAACTGGATCCATTCTGAGGTGGCTAAAAAGTGAAAAAGTGGTTATATGCATTCTGAAGAATACCATACATTTTGAACCAAAGAGAAACGTACACATTTTTGTCACAAAGTGACTGTAAAATTAAAACTGCCAGCAATGTTACACAAATTATGGTCAAGACCACCATATTATCTGTTGATATAGAAACAATATTCTATCTTGTATCTTATTTGTTTGGCATCCGCAGACAATGTTGTGAACTATTGTGAGCTGTCAGATGTCTGTGTTCACTGTTTCAGAGGAAAGTGCATATATATATATATTTTTTTTTTATTTTTTATTTTTTTAAATGGACTCAAAACATTGAATGTGAAAAAAAAACTTAAAAACTGTAACTCCATAGATCGAGAATTTATTTTAATGTTTATGTATTTGGCATTAATTGGATGACACAGTGTGTGTTTTCATATGATTAGGGAAAAGCAACCACATAAAGGTTAAAACAGACTCAAACTATCAATTCTAAGAGACAAACATAAAAGTGTTGCAGACCCAACATGGAAAGGAGGTCAGTAGCATATGGGACATGCATGACAAAGAGAGAACACATGGTCAGCCAGAGCAGCTGCGTGAGTGTTATTTTTAAAGCCACGAGTCTCGTGTCAGTAACTGAATTCTCCTGCTCAAGGCTGTTCACATGATGAGCAAAACTATCTGAAAGGATACAGTCAAAATGAATTCACACACACACACACACACACAAATAAATAAATAAACGTTAAGATGTCTACATGCATATTTCCATTTAATATTCTCCACAATATTCAGTGCTCAGTACTTCAGTCATATTACTAATGCACGCAAGAGAACACAATATTCTGAGGTTTAAAATGGTTTGCTGATCTAAGTTGATTCCAAACACTGGTCACGTTCAGCTGGTTTAGGGGGTCAGCAAACTGGCCTCACAGTTGAAGTTGCAAAAATCATTCTTAAATCAGCCAACAGACCAACCTGACCAGGCTGGGAGACTAGTTTAGTGCAGCAAACCAGTTTTGGTATTTTACAAATGTTGTAATTTTATGTTTTCTTTCCAGCGGAGTATAAAACAGTACTTAGTTTACACATACTTTCTGCCACAGTCATTTTAAGGGAGTGCTATACAAGCGTGCATACCGCAAGACCACTTGAAATGACTTTTACAATACAAAAATATTTTCCTTTAATCGCTAATATAATATAATTAAGCACGCCTGCGTGATATAAACAGCATATAAATAACAATGTTGTGTCATAACGAGACAATAGTAATGCAGAGCGTGGCCTGTTTTCGTTGAACCAAGCCGCAGTATTTCGCTTTAGGTCTTCGCGTCCGTGAAGTCCAAACCTAAACCTCCACAAGACATTCTCCTCTGAATTTCCCACCACAGATAGTTAAATGTTGATTTAAGCGTCTTTGCGGACCTATACAGTGACCATATTCCATACATTAGGGTCATTTCTTTCTCTTACCTGTTGTGACCGTCGCCATCTTCCCAGGGAAAAACCGACGCGTTGCGGAAATCTTGTGACGTAATATCCTCTCCGTCTTCGGAACAACTCGACTGACCCGAATGTTCCGAATGAAACGAGCAATCTCTGGCTCCAAAACATGTCTTATTCAACGTTCTGTTGCTCCAGTGGGTCATTTTGTGTGTAATTACCGGCACCATAACAATTGAAAGTTTGTTATTAAACGGAATTTTCCACGACAGCCTCAGTCACCTTTTATAATATGGAAAAGAGATGCAATACAAGTGAATGGTGACATTCTGCCTTTTCTTTTTCATCCGTGAAAAATGACCTTACGGCCTTATAACAACATCAGGGTAAACAGATGATGATAATACAGTAACTTTTTGGGTGAAAATACCTTTTAAATTAAGGTCTGGCTGACTGTACAATGCAACATGCTATTTCTATTTTATCCACTAGAGGGCGGTAAAATCTCGTTAATATCATGTCGCTATTTTCAGATGCCACGGACCTGCATATACAGTATATGATCATCCTTGTGCGACACCCAACCCCCCCACAACTCATGTGTGCAAAACTGATACTAATAAATATGTGTAAAATATTATTTGTAACATATTGAACAGTTATTTATTTATATGTATAAAATATGTAGAATTTATTTATTTAAACTTTACCTTTCCATTGAGATGGAAAGTCTACACTGAAAAAAAAAAAAAAATCAATAGAAAAACGGAAAACATTCTAGTAAATTTCTGCCAGGACATTAACCCTTAAGTTTAAAGGCAATTCCTTCAACCCTAAAACACAACACAATGCAATGCATGAATCAAAATACAAGTAGGCTGAAACGCATCAGAATAATAAATGCAGAAAATTCCTTCATATTAACACAGTACATTGGGTCCTATTTTTACAGACTGACGCATGTTTGGAAAAAGAACGGCTAGAAAGTCTTTGTGATTATATTTATTTTGTAGACATTTCCTTTACAAGAAAAATTGGACGTCATACAAAGATATTAAGATAGGACAGTACACCAAGATTTCACAGTCTATGTAACAATATGAACGGTCCTTCTCCATTCATTAAAGGGCTAGAAATATAGCATAAAGTGAAATGAAATGGAGAAAGGGTGAAAAGAGAAAGAATGTAGATTATATAATTCACAAGGGTTGTTCAGTATGTATTAAATATGCTGTTCAATATGAGAACTTGGAGCAGTCATGGCGAGGAAAGCACTCTAAAATCACGAGTGTCCTAAACCCATAACCTCAAATCTCCCAGACACCTCTATCATCGGCACTCTTAATCAAGAATATACAAAGACAAACAGTATTGAAAAAGCACCATATCATTTCTGAAACGTTATGTGATGATTCTTATTACAACTAACTTTTATTTCCCTCCAAAATGGCAAGAAAAAGAAAAAAAAAACGTACGAGAAACACGTACGGTTTTTTTTTCAAACAATTAAGTGGTTGTAATATGAGACTAATATTTCACTCATTTTATACTGAAGGCAATCTTCAAATGTGCATTAGAAAGTGAAACAGTTCACCTATCAAATGACACTCATTAAACCCGAGAGGTATTGACTGACATTTTACATCCTCCTAATGCATAACCATCCCGTCATTGAGGTCTGAGCAGAGTCAATCTTACGCAAGGTAAACTGGAAAGACAAAACAAATTGTCTCAATTCTTCACTGTGACACTGTAGCATAAGGAATGACTTTTATCATACAATTCAGTTGATTTGCTACATGGTTCTCCTAGAGTATCTGAAATATTGCATTCAACTGTGTCAATTCAAAGCACTGTGAATTTGAAAATACCTAGGACGATCATAACTAGAACATGACTGTGCAGTTCAATCTAAACAAGGAGTTTTTGCAAAGTGGAAGACCACAGAGTCACTGATACTGTATCATTTAACCAACATCTCCTTATGCTATCATATCAGAGTCAGATACAGTAACAAAATGTTTTGGCGTAGGAGTAACAAAAGCACCAACAACTGAAAAATCAAAACAACATAAAACTGTTGTGACTCACAAAAACGTCTTTTGAGGAAAAGTTGAATTGAGATCAATGTAATGGAGCTTGGAGCTGTTTGACAATGTGCTTTCTAATATCATATAACGTCCCACTTTGTGAAATCACAGCTCTGGCTTCATTACGTCACTGTTCGAGATGCCTTAATTCAGTTTTCATTACCAAATGAGAATGTAATTTCATCAAATGGCTCTGTTGGAAAGAGCTCACGCAGTTGTCTCCATTTCAGCTTAAATGTGATGCTCTGGGTCTAAATTCAACCAGCAAGACAATGGTGCACCTGTGTATATAAATGTAGCATGAAAAGGCATTTCGATTTAAACAACTGTATAAATATTTTCATTTCCGCCCCATAAAATACTCCAGACGATGAAGCCCAAGTCAATAGGAACGCTGGACCTCATCTGATTGTAAAATACTTCCCATCTGTGTATGACGTGGACACGCATAATGTTCTGATCATGTCCTTAACGTGAATTAATAAGGGCTGGTTGAAAGTTGTCCATCAAGCCCTGAATATCACACGCACACAGAAGCCAAAGGGCAGACAGCACACACTGGACATGATAAATCAATGCAACACCACTGCTTGAGAAACACAGCTGAATATCAGATGCTCATCTAGAATACATTGAGACACTCAATTCATATCTTCTTTTTGACTGATTTATTTATGCATTTATAGATATTTTGCGTCCAGTGTGTTTTGTCCACAGGGGTTGATGAACAAGGGCTGTGGAACCAACCTCATTGACAAATCAAGCACAAAGCACAAATCTGTGATACATATATAACGCTATATGCACCACAGTTTCAATACAGTCATCATACATATTACACGTTTCGAATGAAAGGCAGTGACAATGCTTTTCATATTAAGGGAAAGGCGGGCTGTTATTGTTTATTATAATATACTTTCTGTTCTTCTAGAAAAATATATGTTTAAACCAAAACCAAGTGCATCAAGCTCTCCCTTCTGTCTTCATTGACAAAAAATAACATTTTCTGAACATTCATACATTACATTACAATCATTGTATATATATATATATACACTGAATATGTATATATATGCATACATATTTTAATATATTTTATATATATAGTTTTAGACATTAAAAAGGTTCATAGTGCACAACATGCCTTTTTAGTTGCCAACATGAGATAACTATGAAATAATAATAATAACCATAATAACAATATTCGTGATAACTGCAGTAAGACAACAGTAACAGATAGAAGGAGCAGCTAACAGCCCCACAAAATTATTCCATTTGGCAGCAACGGCACAATCAAGAGCAAAAGAGAAAAAGCATCATGAAAAATCAGTAACTCAAAACATCAAAAACATTCACAGGAAAGTAAACGGTTCATATTCAAAAGCACATCCCATCCTTTAGGTTGGCCACCGCTTTGTATTCCTTCCGTCCGCAGCCGGCATTTGTGCTTTTTTCCATTTTAACAACAACAACAACAACCCCCTTAAAGAAAGAAATCAACTGGAGATGTAGTACTCTGTGGCTTCCATTCACAATCAAAGCCTAGAGCTGTGCTAAACCACATCCACAGCTCAAAGACTATGTCAAGGACTTTAAGAAGTACAGAGGCCACTCATCCAAAACCAAGAGGTTGTCCTTTTTTTCTTTTTTTTTGGTTGCTCGTTATAATGCTCTTCAAACACAGAGTGTCGAGCCACTCTTGTATGTTATCGTCAGGTAAGCCACTTTTGAGATCATAGTTAATACTATCATTGAAACACAGAATGAAGCAAACAAATAAACTCCTCTAACTTGCTCAAGAAAGGGGAAAGGGCGAACACGGTGCGAAAGCTCTCAGAGGACCAGTGGGAGATGACAGGTAGAGCATGGTCATGCGAATACTCTCACCGTCTCATACCTCCACGTTCCAAGGGCTCTCAAAAACTCCTCCGCTGGCCTTGCCAAAGTCTAGCCAGTGTGTCTCCGCTCAACCGAAATGAAATCCTCAGTGCTGAGGAGAAATAAAGAGTCCCGTTCCTTTAGCCAGTGTCCGAGATGGCTGGTTCGTTTCGATTTTTTGAAATGTCTGAGGTTCCACTGCGGGCCGGTCCGTGCGAAGGGAATTTGTGGTGTCGGGGGTGTGGGCTGGCACTCACTCAAGGTTCCATGGGCTTTCAGGGTCCAACGGGCTCTCAGGGGCCGAAGACTTCAGAGAGAACCAGAGGTACATAGAGACAGGAGAGAGGAGAAACAAATGTGGAGATGGACAACGGAGGGAGAGAAAAAAGAGAGAGATAGGTACTGTAGCTAGAGTGTGTGGTCATGTTCTTTTTGTCACAGGAAGAGGTGTGGATGAACTGGATGGAGAAAAAAAGCATAGCAAGGAAGCCCGAAACGCAAAACAAAACCCACAAAGCAGTTCTGTGCCCCCTTTTCTTTTTGCTTAGACAAATACACAGCAGGCACCTGGTGTGGATAGAGAGAGAAGGAGGAGATGGTACACCAATGTAAGCCAGAGCGAGAAGAGACAAAAGCAAGGGGGAGTGCGCTGATGTGCTTTCATTGTTATGTCAAACGGATTTGAATGTCTATGACAATTTAAGTGTGTGTGATTGTGTGTGCATGGGCTACTGACTCATCTTGATATTAAGCCTGAATTCATTGTGAATTAATATACACTTACATCATCTGATGAAGTCACTCAGACGCTAACGCATCTGGGCCTCGAAAGGTTTCAAATCGAAAGGCTTTCATGTAAAAGATCAGTACAACGTCTGAGAGGTGTTTGCATTTGTTTGTGTGCGTGTGCTGCTGTCGACAGGCAAGCAGAGGCAGAGTAGACGCAGAGCTCTCAAAGTGCAAGAAGCGAGGGTGAGTTCAGGGAATCAGAGGACTGATCGCTGCTGCTGGTTCGCTGGTTAGCGCTGGCCCCGCAGGCTCCCTCTGGGTAGGTGAACACAAATGAAGATGTGTATGAGGGGATGTAGCTGCCGGCGTCAGGGTTACCGCCACCGTCGGCAACAAGGCACGAGCCGTCCGGCGCCGGCTGGCCCTGCCCATAGAAAGAACTAGAAAAGGCTACCTCCTGCATCATTCCTTGCTGCTGTTGTGCTGGGGCCGGCTGTGTCTGCGTGGGCTGTGAAACCGGGACGTGGTGGTGGTGGTGGTGGTGGGACGAGTAGGCGGGCGGCAGGTAGAAAGTGTCCTCCTTCACAGTCAAACCCACCACGGAGACAGAAGGCATCTGCGGGGACGTCTGCGGCAGTGGCAGTGGCAGCGGCGCGGAGGGCTGTTCCTGATAGGGAATTTTGCAGCCGGGTTGGTGGGCGACCAGGACGAACTCCAGGCGCTCCTTCTCCTTTTGCAGCTCGGATATTTCGGCCTCTAGCTCGGCCTTCTCTTCCTCCAACATGTCTGTATCCTTGGGTTGGAGAGACAAGAGGAGGACACAAGGGGACAGAGATTATATGATCACATGAAATGAGGACAAAAACAAGGGTTTCCTTTTATCATAGTAGTTCAGACACAGAGCTACTTCAGAAATACACGATGCTATAGTTTCAGAGAGCGACAACAAAATAAACTTGGCGAAAATGCCGTTTTCTTAATTGCCAACTCCATTTCCACAGTATAATTACGGTGGGTTTATGCACTCTTTGTTCTAATTACAATGCAGCATAATGCATATGTGTGTGTGTTGGAATCATTTACAAACTATCATTGTAAAAATGATTGTTATGAGCAGATTGGCATGTTATGAATCCGGTAATTAGGATGCCTTTGCATTCATCTGTTATTATGGATGAAATATTGTAATGTAACAAGTGAGTTACAGCATCGCTCACCGACTGTAACCTGTCTGTGAGCTCACGCCGTCGGTTCCTACACTTAGCGGCGGCCAGTTTATTTCTCTCTCGTCTAACACGTCTTTTGTCCTCCTCCTCAGGGGTCAGCTGGGAACAGAACAAATTTCATTTTTAATTTATTTTTTAATCAAAATGTCAAATGACTAACCACGCCGTCATGGTTCTCACTCACCATTTCATCCCGTGCACGGCGACGGCTCCGAGACTGTCTCACTGGGCCAGGAGTGTCAGAGCTTGGTGGGGTGAAGCCTCCACCAGATGAAAAGCTTGGGCCTGGCAGGTCATAAGGATCCAAAGCAACAGGCTGCGTCATGGTGCTGGAGCCCGTGCCGCTTTGTCCTGGTGCCACGGAGGAGATGAGAGTGGGCTGCACCATCCACTGCAGATCCTGGCTGGTGGTGATGGCCGTCACTGTGGGCACAAATGAGCTGGGCATGTCCACCCCTGCCCCGGTGCCAGTTGACCCTCCACCCACCCCTACCCCGCCAGTGACTGATACACACTCCTGGAAACCAAAAACATAAACAGTATATAACTATGGACCCCACCAGCTTGCAGTAAACAAAAAATCAATTTTAGTTAAATTAACATTGAGTGAAATAAAGTCAGGGAAGCATTTTCGTTTAGACTAAAGGGATAGTTTGCCCAAAAATTATAAATCTGTCATCATTTTCTCACCCTAAAGTTGTTCCAAACATGTATGAGTTTCTTTTTTCTGATGAACATGACATTTTGATATTTCTTTTTTCTGATGAACATGATATTTTGAAGAATGTGGGTAATCAAACAGTTGACGGTAGACATTGACTTCCACAGTATTTTGTTTCCAATCTATGGAAGTCAATGGGGACCAGAAACTGTTTGGCTACACACTCTTCAAAATATCTTCTTTTATATTCAACAGAAGAAAGAAACTCATACAGGATTGGAACAGCATGAGGGAGAGTAAACGATGACAGAGAGAATTTTCTCTTTTTTGGTGAACTATCCCTTTAACTTGAAGTACTGAAAAAAACGAAAATGAAATAAACAAAATACAAAACCAATTTACTAAAACTGTAAATAAAATAAAAATGACAACTGAAAATCTAAAAATAAAATCCAATTCAAAATAATAACAAAGACTATAATAATATATCAATGATAGTAAAATACCACTTAATGTAAAGCTGTATTTTCCTCCATGCAAAGATAACAGACTAAAGATCATGAAAACATAAAAAAAAGAGTAAGGATAATGAAAAGCATCAAACATATGGAAAAAAAAACATGGATCCTTATCAGAGTTTTCTGTTTTAAAGCTGCTTTAAAATTCCAACAAATTACGTGTCCAAATACAAGTAGCCTACATAAACGTCGTGGATATTTTACGTTTAACCAACACATCTGTGAACAGCTATTAAAACATATTTAGGAGAAAAATCTAAATTGCTACGTTTTCTTTTTTTTTTTAGAAAAAGAAAGTCCAGTGATGCCAGTGTGAGTTCCATGTTTCATTAATATTCATATAAAAGCGTGTTAGGCAAAGGCACACGCAGCACGCCGTAGCCAATAAGCGGCCTCTAATAGCCCCTCCTGTCCCTGATCCTCCGCCCCCGTCACACCCCCGGTGTTCTCCTTAGCAACGCAACGTAACACTCCAAAATAGAACGCATTGACGTCACGCCGAAGTCTGCAAAGCGAGAGCAGCAGCGCTGAGCGGAGCTTCGTGTGAGAGCGTCGGAGAGTTCCACAGCTTTGTCATCTGTTTCGCGGCGTGCTGTAAACCCGCCACATTGCTATCGGCCTGATTCCGCGCGCATGCTGACTTGTCAGTATTCTATTGAATTCTATTCCGACTTTACACATATAAACACACTCGAACGGATTCAAATGCATTCCCTTAGCAACGTCGCTGCGCTTCCCTAACAGAAACAAGCAAATCTCGCAGCTGCCGTGCTGCTTAGCAAAACAGTTTGTACGGACAAACACGATGTTTAAATGCGAATAAATACTGCGACTTACTTGCGGTGCGCTGGTGGTGGGCGGACTCCCGAAGGATTCCACGGACGACAGGTACTGGGATTCAAGAGAAGGAGATGAGCTTCCACGGGAGCCGGTGTCGGGGTCTCCGGGGAACCCCTGAAACATCTCCCCGGTGGAGCCGAAAGAAGCCGAAACACCTACTGTGCCCGGCGAGAACGGGATGTCACCTGTCACCCAACAGAAGTTACATTGAAGCGCATTTTCGCCAGGACATCAACTATTCGCTTGCGTTTAATGCACCATAAAAAGAGAAAAGTGGATGCATTGCATCTAAATATTTTTATTATATTAAAGTCACCTACCGTAACAAGTTATACTTGGAGTCTTCGTCAAGATGCCCTTAGTCTCTTTCCAAAACAGTTGCATTAAGACATCAATCCAGTTCCCTGCTGGAGGAAACTTCTAAAATCCAATCTCTCTTTGAATAACACTTCCCAGGCCGTAGTACAATCCGTGAAATGTGCATTTATAAATCCATAAAATAATCCGGAATGTGTTTATTACAAACGGGAGTAGAAGGTGTTCAGTGTTTCGGCAGCAGCGCTTCGTCTTCTGAATGAAGCCTGAGAACGCATTGTAAAGTAGGGAGTCCTGGCTCCTCCTCTTACTGGTGTTCCGCTGACGTAGGTGCCCATATATGGTCCAAAAGCACTGTTTTTGTTTTCGGTATCTAAGCAATATGACGTGTAAGGGATTCCCTCACCCACAGAAAGAGACAGCTCGATCGCGGTCAAGAATAGGTACGTTTACTATTACTTCCACAAGATATTTTTAATTGTTACATGGTTTTCACGGACAATATTTAGAAACGACACGGTTTGCAAATATGTTTTACGTCAAAAAAAAAAAAAAAAAAAA